GTTCGGCACCAGCCCGTCGGGTCGCCCAACTCCTACTCTACTCACCTCTTACTTCGCTCGTGTGCCGACCCTTCCTGATCGCGCAACCCCGAGCTTCCAACAACGGGTTGAGAGCTCACTAATCGCGCAGCCAAAATTTATAGCGTGCATGCATGCGCGAAGAACGCGGAATTACTAGGACTTAGAGTGAGGGTTAGAGAAAGGACGCCTGCGTTCTGCATGATCGACCGCAGCGTGGGGGACGTAACCCTTCTCCACGCATTGATCCGAGCATGCAGGCTGCGGCTTACAAAATTTCAGCAAAAGAAAGATCCCGATTTCCCGTAATTGGCGGGAGAGACGAAGTGCAAGAAGAGAGATACAGTTACAATGGCGCCCGCCCAAAATTACAGTTACACATACGATTAAGGGCGCCCACTAATCAGAGTACCGTTGCAGCCGCATGAAGAAGCGTGAAAACAAAAGGCGCCGCGCGGCAGGAAAAATCCTAATTACTGAATTCCTAAATTCCTATCTAATCCGAAGAAGCAAAAGCACAAATTCCAGAAGGAAAGTCCAAAATTCCGAGAGCCATCGGGGGGGGGCTCGACAAAATTCGAAAAAAAAGATTCAAAAGAAAATTCAAAAAGAATGAAGCAATTTCCCGCGCGATGTCCGCACCCAAAAGATCGAAAACCGAACCAAAAGAAACGACGTCAACATTTATTCATCGCGCGCGCGGTGGCGCGCCAGACATCCATCCGACCAACCATTCTACCGGCCGTCCCAGGACACACCCAGCCCCGAAGAAGCGACGAAAAAGACGAAGAAGCAAGGGTACTGATGCAATTTTCCACCGATCCCGATTTCCCGTAATTGGCCCAATCTTCCCAGCTTAGGACCCCTTGTTGCAACCGCGCAGAAACTCGCGCGTTACAAAAAGTGGTTCGTCACATCCCCACCGATTAGGCCGAGGCGAGGATGACCGAGCTCGGTGGTGGTCCTGGAAGCTGCCTCCGGATGTTGAAGCTCCTTCCCGATGGCGTTTCTCACTGTCCTCGTGATGCTGCTTCCAGTATGCCCCGCAGTCGGGGGCAAAGTGCCCATACACGAGTAACACTGTTGCGGTCCCCTCCGATTTGGGTGGTCACCCTCTTTTCCTCCCTCCTGTCCCTGTTGCTGACTGGACGATGCCATCGTTCAGCAACGAACGACGTAGAAGTCACAGACGTTATAGAAGTTCCCGGATCCTGTTCGTGATCTCGAGCTTCTCGGCTTCATCCGGCTTCTGCACGTCTTCGAATCCTCGAGCTTAGTCAAAGTTCGAAAAGGTCTCTTCAGAGATCACCTTCCCAGATAATTCTTAACCACCGGTTGAAGCAGCAGTCCTCCGTCTGTTATTAAGGGCTTGCGCAATGGGCAAATACACAAGCATGCATCACACATACTAGAAGCACACGAATTCAGCGATCCTCAAATGAGCTTAGGATGATAAAGATTGAAAATAGCTCGTCATCCATCTGACATAGCTCCCGACACGTGTTTCGGCCACATGTCAGTTGTGGCCTCCTCAGGGGATAACACCCCTACCATCCACCAAGACTACTTCTTGTCACCACTTCCCCGGAAACTGCCGTCAGCAGCAGGAAACAGGGTCCCACCGCATGCGGCAGCTAACAACAGAGTACCACTGAAAGAGGATGACTACAATGCATAGGTGCGATATATAGTCAAACCTCAAATTGAGCACACAAAACAAAGACGAAAAAAACAAAACAAATCCGCCTAGACTATACAAAAGGAAAACAAAGCCGCCTAGACTATACGAAAGGAAAACAAAGGGCCAAAATGCCAAAAAAACGGCCCACTGGGTAGTCCAGAGAGTCGCAACACCAAATCGGCAAAACGGTGGACAAGGCTAGCAGTCAATTTCCAAATGGGACCCCTCTTTCTTGCAAAGGTCTCCAGTACCTGTCCAAAAAATTTGTCAGAGAACCCCTTGCGGCTATATAGGCCATTCGAAGTAAAAGGACTTGGCCCGGGATTTTTTCCCCGTTTGGATGTGCTTGGGTGGATTCGGTTCAGCCACCCAGAAATAGCCGCCGCTTCCTGACTTCGGGTGGACCAGGACCCGAAGTCCTGTCCTTCACGAATTGACAACTGCCGTCCCTGTATCAACTCCTCCTCATTACGAATCCGCTGAAAACAGCCTACAAAATGACAACTGCAGTCGGTGAAGACCGCCAGTTCGTTTCCCAGCCATTTATTTCGAAGTTGCGGTTTGCATGCTGCTGCAACTTTCGGCGCTTAGCCACTGAAGCAAAATGGCTGGCGGCGCCGGCCAAAAGGAGGCCGGCGCCGGCCTCCGTTTTGTTTTCCGTCTCTCAGCGCATTTCCATCCCCTGAGAAAAGTGCCTCGGAGTAACCCCGGTGGTTTTAAGTTACCGAATCAGGATCTTAAACCGCCGGTACTTCAGCCATAAAATATCGGCCCCGGGAAAAAAATCGAGCGTATAAGTGTTCCTAGTTGGATGAATTTGGGCGCTCTCCGCGCGGCCTGTTCGTTCAGGCCGCGGCCGGCGCGTTAACGGCCGCGACTTCAGGAAGTACTGGTTGTTTAACAACAGGCACATAGATACATGCATGATGAGTAGATAGATAGATAGATATCTATCATAGATAGATAGATAGATAGATAGAAGGTGTATATAGGGGTCCTACAGGGCCCGTGTTGATTTACTTGCGATAAAAAAACATGTACTCCCTCAAAAACATTTGCTCTTCATAGACACATACAAAAAGAAAACAGAAAAAAACTGTAGTTAAAATTTGACAGAGCCTATCCCTCTAAATAACAAGATAAACTTTCACCAGGGAGACTGACCCATTCTGAAGTCCAACCCCCCCCCTACCCCTCTAAATAAAGATAAATTTTCACTAGAGAGAGGCTGACCCATTCCGAAGTCCAACCCCCCCAAGGAAAGGGGTTTGGATGAAGCCTAACCCACTTACGGTGGTTAGAAGGGGCAGGTCCAACCCCCCCCACCCCCCCCAAAAAAAACGAAGAAAAAGTTAAGTCCTACCCACTGCATCAGATGGACAGACCCATTTTGAACCCCCCATAGTTCTCCGGGTCTCCCCCCACCACTCTTGGCAGGTATCATAAATTGAATGCACCCATCTGTATGGCATGGTGTGCAGGTGAGACCCTCCTTTAGACCCCTCCCCCTCCTCCTTAAACACCTCCAAGAAGGAGGGGGAGGGTTAATTAAATTCAACTGCCTGGTGGCATGAACTAGGAATGAGACTCTCTCTTACTCTCCCCTCTTTCCATATT